GTAAATACTTTTATAATGTTACAAAACATTTCTATTTCAAAAATAAATATTTAAAATAGACATAATAAACATATATTGATATAAAAAAAAGTACCAAACATTTGAATGGTATGTATATGGCTGCAGCAAGAGAGTTGTAGAGTGCAAATTGTTTGAATGTTAAAGTAAAAAATGAACAAATGTAAAACTAAAATAAAAATCGAAAACTAGTCAAACTTACTAATGCCCACCATGACCCATCCCTGATTTTGAGTAGTACAGGATTTAGTCCTCTGACAGGTTCATACAGATGTATAATTACACACACACCCACATACACACAACTCTCTTTGTCTCCTCCATACAGTACATGTGGAGACAGACAGTACAATAAATCGACACTCCTTCACTCTCAGTTGTACCATTTCCGAACTGGCTATTGAGTATTATGGGTCTTTCTTTTAGTTTGACTAAGTAACTCTTGATATATAACTTCACAAAGCATGTCAGTCTGCAACAAAGGGATTTCATAATTATAAATTCAAAAATAGGCAAAAGGTTGGGCGTCTTTTTCTTTATTGTGAAACGTATGAATGAATGGCCTTGGTGTTTAATTCAATGCACTGAAATCGTTACCCTTTTACGAACTGAATTCAGTTGACTGCTGAAGAGAATGAACATGAATGATTTGTTTGTAACACTTTGGCATGTCAAATACAGCTGTGATCCTTGCGTGTGTCACATGACGTCATGAAAGGGAGATAGACAGGATATTTGGGGTTTGCTATGGAAAACTATTTTGTTTTTATGCTAAATTATGTGGATTTTGAAATGTTTTTGTAATGTTTGGTACACACCCTCATGTGCCAAACCCACTTTCCTTTTACCATGTAACACAAAAGATGTTGTTTAGCAGAATGCCCTGGCAGTTATTTCACATACAATGAAAGTGAATGTAGATGGATTCAATGACAAAAAGCACCAGCTTTAAAAAAGTAGTACTTTTGACTGGTGCTAATCTATGTCTTAGTCATGTAATTGCTTTTGTGAGGAACAGACACAATTTTTTGTAGAAACATTAGCTATATTCACTTGCAAAACGTTTGTTTCTCAGAGAAAATCCGTGTTCACTTGAAAAATATTTGCGTTCCCCCAAAAACTTTGCATTTACTTGCAAATCTTTTATGCTGGCTTGCAAAACATTTGCGTTCCCTCGAGAAACGGTTTGCTTTCAAAACTTTTGTGTTCCCCCAAGAAATTTTGCGTTTACATGCAAAACTTTTGCATTCCCCCAAAAAACTTTGTTCACTTGTAAAACTTTTGCATTTCCCAGAGAAAATTTGTCCCTTTCAAAATGTTTGTGTTCCCCTTAAAAAACTGTGTTTGCTTTCAAAAGTTTTGTGCTCCCCAAGAAACTTTGTGTTCACTTGCAAAACTTTTGCATTTCCCAGAGAAACTTTGTGTTCACTTGCAAAACTTTTGCATTTCCCAGAGAAACTTTGTGTTCATGTGCAAAACTTTTACATTTCCTGGAGAAACTTTGCATTCACTTGCAAAACGTTTGTGTTCCCCAGAAACTTTGTGTTCGTTCACAAAACTTTTGTGTTCCCCAAAATAAATATTGTGTTCGCTTGCAAAACGTTTGTGTTCCCCAAAGGAACTTTGCGTTTGCTTCCAAAACTTTTGTTTCCCTGAGAAACTTTGCATTCACTTTCGAAAAATTTGTTGGCTTGCAAAACTTTTAAGTTCCGCAGAGAAATTTTGTTTATTTGCAAAACCTTTGCGTTCCACCGAGAAACTTTTCGTTCACTTGCAAAAGTTTTGTGATCCCTGAAGAAACTTTGCATTTACATGCAAAACTTTTGTTCCCTTAAAAAACTTTGTGCCTCTTTCAAAACTTTTGTGTTCCCCTAAAAAACTTTGTGTTCACTTTCAAAACTTTTGTTCCCCCAAGAAACTTCGTGTTCACTAGCGAAACGTTTGCATTCCCCCGAGAAAGTTTGCGTTCGCTTGCAAAACTTTAGCGTTTCCTGGAGAAACTTTGCGTTTGCTTGCAAAACGTTTGCATTCCCCAGAGAAACTTTGTGTTTGTTCATGAAACTTTTGTTCCCCCAAGAAATTTTGTGTTCACTTGCAAAACTTTTGCGTTCCCCTAAAAAACTTTGTGTTGCTTTCAAAACTCTTGCGTTCCACTAAAAACTAAAAAATCCCCTAACTTTGAGATCACTTGCAAATCTTTTTCATGGCAGAATGCAATATTTTTGCTAAAAAAAATGCAAGTCAATGCAGGGTTTTGGGTGGGAACGCAAAAGTTTTGTGAGCAAACACAATGTTTCTTGGAGGAATGTAATATAAAATACATTTTTTTCTCCGTTCCCATATTTCTCATATTGCTCTGTTGGTTTGAAATGACATGAGGGTGAATAACTGACAGAAATGTAATTTTTGAGAGAATTATTCCTTTAATGTTTAGTCATATTTCACTTCTGTCCCAGAGTTCACTCTCATTAATTGATACAGTACAAATCCATATGTGTTAATAAGCAGTGCCACTCATGCAAATAAACACACCCCCACTGTGGGACCCTCACATACTGAGAGATCATTGTGAAGCACACATACATATACACGCACTCAATTGTTTTCTGTTATGCAATGGAGCTCATTCAAGACTGGTGAGTCATCTGGGGCAAGAGAATGAGAGAAGAGAATAACCCAACATATAATCCCCTGTGTGAAAAGCCCAGTGTTCATAGCAGTGGATACAGCATTCAGGAAACTGACGGCAATCATTATGGTCTCCGGTTCATAATTAATCATCTCACATGGAAAACACAGGAGTGCACTCTCAGAGCGGGAAACGTTGATGTCAAATGGAAAGCTAAAGTCATATGAAACATTTCATGTTGGACAGTTCCCCGGTTGCCATGATGACTGAGTTTTTTGTGGTTTTTAAGCATCATTTTTTGTAGAGCTATAGGAAAATGTTCTTATGTTTGAAACAGTTTTCCTTGTTTAAAATTGTTTTGGTTCAGTTATATCTAAGGATGTTTACAGCAGATATGATTGGTCATCTGTGCTGGTTTTCACACACTTATGGCTTGTTGGAAAGTTTGACCAGTGGTCATTGTTTAGTTTTTCAGTGCCATGGCAACAAAGCAGTCCACGTTTCAAAGTCTTGTGATTTTTGTAGTTGTAGTTGCACTTTCTGGTTTTGCACATTAAATTTTTATTAAAAAAAAAAAGTGCTGAAGCAATCAGAAATGAACTCTGACAAGCCCACACTGCAGATTGAGGTTAAATGCTTGCTTTTGTCCAAGACATAGCCATGGCAATGAGAGTGCAAAACATGCAAAGAATTGTTGGGATTGAATCCAAGAATATCCATATCATCCATGTGTATGATGAGAGAGAAATATTTTTTCCACAAATTTCCTTTTTGCAAATTTTTCATACAATGCATTCACACCAATAGGTGCCAGTATGAAGTCTAACACCATTGTAATCAGGAAGACCAAACGAAATTGGGGAATACATTTTATTTAAAAAATGGTATTGTATTTGCTTTAAAATAAATAAATGAAATGAAACACGAATAAAAAAATAATAATCAAAAATACAGAAAAAAACGGTCATTTTGTGAAATATTATTGCAATTTAAAATAACAGTTTTCTATTTTAATATACTTTGAAATATAATTTATTCCTGAAATTTAAAGCTGAATTTTCAGCATCATTACTCCAGTCTTCAGTGTCACATGATCCTTCAGAAATCATTCTAATGTGTTGATTTATGATCAATGTTGGAAACAGTTGTGCTGTTTCATATTTTTGGGACCTGTGATACTTATTTCAGGATTCTTTGATAAATAAAAAGTTAAAAATAAACAATGTTTATTTAAAATAGAAATTTTGTGTTACAATATACACTACTATTCTAAAGTTTGGGTTCAGTAAATTTCTTTCTTTTTTTTTTTTTTTTTTTAAGAAATTAATACTTTTATGCAGCAAGAATGTGTTAAAATGGATAAAAAGTAATAGTAAAGACTTAAATTGTTAGAAAAGATTTCTATTTTGAGTAAATGCTGTTCTTTTTAACTTTTGAAAGCATTTTTAACCTTTGAAAGCATATTAGAATGATTTCTGAAGGATCATGTGACACTGAAGACTGGAGTAATGATGCTGAAAATTCAGCTTTACATCACAAGAATAAATTATATTTGAATGTATATTAAAATAGGAAACCAATATTATAAATTGCAATAATATTTCACAATATTACAGTTTTTCCTGTATTTTCGATCAAATAAATACAGTCTTGATGAGCATAAGAGACTCCATTAAAAACATTACTGATCCCAAACAAATCGCAAATGGACTTAATATCAGTTTTTTATCAATTAGTGTTGCATAATGATATTGTCACTCAATTTTGCAATTTGCCATGCTTCAGTCACTACTTTGTATTTGTTCTGTTGTCAACAGAAAAAAAAATGCAAATATATCTACTGATCCCAAACAAATCGCAAATGGACTTAATATCAGTTTTTTATCAATTAGTGTTGCATAATGATATTGTCACTAAATTTTGCAATTTGCCATGCTTCAGTCACTACTTTGTATTTGTTCTGTTGTCAACAGAAAAAAAAATGCAAATATATAAAATATATTAAACAAATATATACATGAGAAGAGCTTTATTAGGAATTAGCTGTAAACCAGTATGTGAAACAAACAAACAGATGTACTGTTCAAAGGGCTGACACTAGACAGAATGCAAATATGACTCAGTGACGTCATCAATATGCTAATTATCACATGACATCATCTAGTGACTTTTTGAGCAGGATTTATTGCTTTCCATTGAAAGTAGTTGGCAAGAGTGGTAGTATAGTGAGCGGTGTTAACAGACTAGTTTAAGAGTTACACCAGTAATTGAATACTGTTGTCAGTCACTGATTTAAATCAAATAGAAATAAACAATAAAGAAATAACATTATTTTGAATGCTGTTTCTTTCAGGCAGTGAGTCTGAGATCTGATTGATTACTGATCAAGATCCTTGCAGATGACATGCAGTCTCAGGTAAGAGCATCTGTTGAAGTTCAAAGCTTGCTCTCTGCGTTTCTCAATCCGCTAAACCCATGTTAATGTGAGGTGCTTTGCACTTGCACTTACTTGTGATCCTTGGCAGCTCCTGGGCCGTTCAGCATCACATCGAAAGACGCCCTGGAACCACAGAAAGAAAGAAACGTTACAAACAGCCCTTTACACAATGACAGGAGGAGAGAAAGAGAGAGCTATTTATGGACTAGACTTGGATTTCCATGAAAAAGCCCCAGTCCCTGTTCCCCCAGCTCACAAAGCACCTCCATGATTTAACAAGATACAGTTTCACCATCTGTGAGAACACAGGGATCTTCCCATGACCCCTAGAGTTCACATGGAGAGAGGGAGCATTATTCAGGTCATAGAGAGAGCAGAAAGTGAGGGATGGTGGGGTTCGAGTCAAGAGGAAGAGGAAAGGAGGTCAGGAAGATGTTTCACAATGAAAAACTTACCCAGTAATGCTAACTTAACCTGCTATTGGTGGTGAACTCTTCATGACCCTGTTGGCTAAGAGTCACACCTTAGAGAGTTTGAATGAGGGAGCTCAGTACAACAGGGCCCTGTAATGAGGTAGTAGTTTCTTCTCTTGTGGCCCCTCAAACTAAGCCACAAAGAGTCTTTCTCTGTAAGCATCCACAATCTAAAATGGACGAGGATGGACAGTTTGTTTTGATACTTTGAATGAATAACAAATGGAGCTGACAAGAGAGCAGATTTATCATGGCTATAGTTGCTTTCCAAAACCCTTTCAAAAAATGGTCACTGGCAAAAATATAAAACATAATATAATAATACTTTTAAATATTTATCAATAGCAAGGTTTACCAAAACCAGAATTAAAGACCGAAATCAACAATCAAATTTCAGTAGCTAGATTTGGTTAATTGGGTAACTGAACTCTTTATTCTGTTCAGGGTGTTCTCAGGTGATAAATTAAACCAGTCATAATAAAGTTATTCAGCAATGAGCTGCGTTTTGGTAGGTCATCCGAACTAAATTTACATATTGCTATTTTAGCTTAAGTTTTGTTCACTGTGAAGTGTATCCTCACAAAAAACTGTAAAAAAACTAAAACTGTTAAAATAGTTTTTATTTTTATAGATATTTTATTGAAATAAAATTAAATAGAAAAATTAGATGAAATTAGTGCTGTCAAACGATTAATTGCGATTAATCGCATTCAAAATAAAAGTTTTTGTTAACATAATATTTTATATATATATATATATATATATATATATATACATACATATATGTGTGTGTGTGTATAATAAATATACACAGTAAACACACATCTATTATGTTAACAAAAACTTTTATTTCCGATGCGATTAATCGCGATTATTCGTTTGACTGCACTAGATGAAATGAAATGAATGACATTTCATTTCAAGTGAAAATAGAAATATTGCTTTGGCAACAAAAGTATAAACAAAATAAGTTGAAGTACTAAAATGAATATAACTAAAACTAAAATATAAAAATATAAATAAAATTGCATTTAAATGTATTTATTTTTAATATATAAAAATGAAAAAAGCATAGCAAAACTTTTTAAAATGTTTGTAGCATATCCACATTGTGTGCATGAAACAGGTGCAGAGAAGCACTAATAAAACACTGTTTTGGTAAATAATTTTCGGCCTTTCACTACACTGATATTTATGTATGTATGTATGTATTTATTTATATTTATTCATTGCTGTTTTGACCAAATATTGTTGGATTCTGACATTTCAGTGCATCACTACTCAAAGAGGTATGCTTTAGCATACTTAAAAAAAAAAGTACTTACTAAAGAAATATTATTCTTTAAAAGAATAAATATGTAATGTTTTCTGACACTTAAAGTGCATTATTTACAATTAAATGAATGTACTATATAAATGCAATTAGTTGAAGGACATATATCCTTAAATACCCTTATTATTTTATCTGCAAGTACAACTAAAAAAATATATACTACAGTACACTAGAAGTACACTAGAAGTGCACATTCAGTACAATTAAATGCACTTCTTTTTCTCAAGGGTAATCAGTAGAGGAATAAACCTTTTGCCCAGAGAATGGTGTAGTTACAGTATAAAACAACTGGGGCTAACTGATAAAACTAACTCTAAACCTTCACTTCCTGTTCTTGAGAACAAGACTGAATGTCTTATGCATATTTTTCTTTGGAAACTGTGATTCAGCTCAGTTGATAACAGGGACGTGCACAGACATTTTGAGGGGCAGGGGCTCAAGTGGAAAAAAGGGCACTTCTCATATTTATTAAAAAAAAAAAAATTCTAATCAAAACGTTAAATATATTAGGGGTGTGTGATATTAATAAAAATATATATCTCAATATTTTCTGGGATTTTATTGATAACGATAATTAGACGATATTTTGCTGAGTGTGTTATTGTGCTGATATCTTAAGGACTACCGTGGACAGCTGACTCCTAAAGTTTTTGATATTCT